ATCGTTAAGTCGATAATTAGGTGTGTAATCGATAATTTCTCATAAAGAAACCAGTAAAAAAACTGGTTCACTGCTTTGATTTACCCTGTATATCTTATATGGTATATATTTGTACGTTGAGTTTTTTAGAATCCGGGTGCAAGGGCACTCGTCCGGTTTATATACAAGACACTGATAATATTTACTGAGTTGTGGTGTTACGTCGATGTTTTATTACGTCTACACGAACGCTGATTCGCGGAGGGAGCCAGTTGAGTCGGTCAATCGGCGAACTGTCTCCGTTATCTCCATCAGCGGTGTATATTCTTGGTCCCGACCCGATAAATAATGTTTGGCGCATTACGCCCTGCACCGTAATATACAGGCGGCACGTGGCCGAGTTATCCAGAGGTCAGGCCAAATTTACCAATCGCCTCGACGTCCGTTCGATTTGCTCGACATGGCCGCGTGTTTGCGGTTGCTCCGGTAGCCCTCGATCTGACCTTCGCAGCCTCGTTATTCGCCTCTTGAGAGAAAGATGAGATCTGATTATAAGTACGAGTCAATGATACGAAATCACGGATATCGATAAGGACATTCAGACATATAAGAAGATATAGACAAATCATACTTGTTTATTACATCGCTTAGATGAATATTAGATCTTTATTTCTTATTTTTCATGTGTTATTCCTTATTTTTCATATCGTGGTCTTAAAAAATACTTTATTTTTAACATTATTAATTTTTTTTTTAATAAGTAAGAATTTATTATCTGTGTATTTTTTATGTAATTTATGTGTGTTATTTTCATTATTTACTTATGTTACGTAACGCATATCATTATCGATTATTTGTTAGACACTACATCTCGCAATTTTCCTCAACCGTTTTCTCGATTTAATCTAAATACACACTTTCGAGAGGGAGATACATATTTATATTCAGACAAGGCAAGAAACGTTTGTTTACTCGAACCCGAAGAGATGGCGGCGAATGGGCACTGATAAGCCGACTCATCTAATTATACCTCTTCTTGCTCTCACCATGGTCGAGGCTAAATCGTCTCTCGCTCTTTCGAGAGGAGAGTTCACGTTACGATCTCGTGCATTATGATGTCAGAATTCAGATTGATGTCAGTCGCGTGGCGGAGGCTCTCATTTCGACGAGAGAGAGGAGGGAGGGGGGAGAGAGAGAGAGAGAGAGAGAGAGAGAGAGAGAGAGAGAGAGAATCATTATTTATTATACTGGAACATTCTCCCTAGAGCGTTAAATACAGTTACATAAAATTATAAAAATTAGAAAGCAGGGAAATGAATATAACAAAAGGTAACATTGAAAGAGCTTTATAAAATATAAGAAAAAAAATAATAAAAATATAGTGATAACAAGATAGAGTGAAACACGTACTACTAAAAACTTTCTAAATGTAAATAATATTAATGAGTGTGTAATTATCTATGGAAAGTAATGGGTTCAAATACAAAAGTACACTAGTTTCGGTATGGTAGAACCACAGAGAGAGATAGAGAGAGAGAGAGAGAGAGAGAGAGAGAGAGAAAGATAGAGAAAACACGCAGCAACTGTGATAGTCGACGTTCACCAAATTATCTGTGACGTCAGCTATATTCGGTTCTTTCTTCTTTTTTTTTCTTCGCACGCTGACGGATCGCCAACGTGCCGTGATCAACATAATCGACGTCTTGACTGCCTCAATCGTCTCGTTAGCGAACATTGTTGCGCGAGCGTCATTAATGAGCGTGTAATAATTCGAGATATGATGTAAACTGGCACGCATCTTATCGGCGGTGTTATGTAAATAACCGAGATATAAACACAAATTTCACATCATTCATTCGACCCCGACGATGACTTATTTTAGTATAATTTTTCGCGATTCTTAGCGTAACAGTAAATGAAAAAAATAACGATTACGAAATCTTCGTAACGACTTATATAAATCATTATCAGACTGACGAGATATCTCGTTGACGATGAAAACATTCGACGAAAGTGATGATATAGTTAAAATTTATTGAATTTCAATGTGAATTTGACTTTCTGATTAGATTTTGTTGTCTCTTATTTAATATAAATTGATTTCGATGTAAATTAATTATTGACTTGATATACTATAATTAATATCGAATTATAGCTTGAAATGTAGTGCTTATTTAATTTTTTAGACATTAAAAATTTGTATGTGCAGCAATTCTCAAGACTGATTGTGAGTTATTCGAACCTGAAAGGATGACGCATAGCGCATATGTCGTTTCGTCTTGATAACACTGGCGATAATGCACCTACACCTCGGCACTCCCTATCGACCATTATCGCCGACCGTGTTATCGCTAAGAAAAGCGATAAAATAACGCGCCATTCGTGCCGACTCAGCGGCTACGACGATAATAATGATCATTGTTTATGCCATAGAGATTAGAGGGGATAGCGGTAGAGAGTCGCAAATACAAGTTTCTCACCGATCTTTCATGTTAAGTCCGGATCTACAATAGATGTTTTAAGCCTTAAGCCGTAAAAAATTGATCAACTACAGTCGAATGCGACGAGAATAAGAGATTATGATTCGTCCATTCCTTATGACTTACAAGACTTCGATTATAAATCTGGGGACAAAAATCAATTATAAATCCGGAGTAATACGAATTTGCAAAAGTTCCAAATAACTGACTTTTTTAAATTTAAGTACGAATTTCCTACGAATGAAACTAAAAGTTATAATAAGAAGAGAGAATTAAAAAAATAATTACAAATTAAAGTAAATACTTCATAATATGTATAATAATTAAAAAAAAGTCTAAGGACCAGCGTTGTTTCATCTTTATAGATAAACTCTATGGTAATTTACTTATTGGATAAACGAAAGAGAAAAAGAGTAAGAACATAAGAGAGTAGGGGCTGTCATAAAATTTCTGTAACAGTAACCTTAAGACGTGAACTTAAACCGATGAACCAATCAGGTTACTGCTTTACGTACTTTAACGGAAATGAAAATAGCAATAACCTTATCCATCTTGCTAATTGAATTAAAAATGATTATTTTAATGAATGAAACTTTAATAGGATAACTGTAGATATATATAATACAAATTTTGATAGAATTTTATGACAATCTGATGCCGCCTATCGAAGACGCCAAAATACTCGAGATGCCTCTGAAGCATTCTAACACATCCCCGGTACCTTCAAAATTCGGCATCAACGTTTATTGATCCACACACGGTCGGCGTATCTCGTATCGTATCGTATCAGCGATATTCGCCGGTTGCTTAAAATGATTGAAAAACACCGGTGCGATAACCGCGACCGCTGACTCTCTACGTGACTCGATGCATTTTATTATAAATAATGAGATCTTCGTACACATAACGTCACGTCAATCCTGATACCAGTCTTCATTTTTCTCAGTATAGTTGAGATACTTTGATAAGAATAATCGCTGATACAGTAAGGAGTACTGTTCAGTCTCCGAGAGATCACCGCGTTTTCATGGCTGTGTAAAACCGGCTTGTTCATTGCAAAGAGTGGGCGCCGGGTTGATGCGAGAGCGTGCGCGCGCGTGCACACAGCATGCAGCCTCCCACCGTCCTCCCCCCTCACCTTTCCTCTCCCCTGCCCTTGCCCGCCCGCCCCCTCCCTTCACCCCAACCCCCCTCGATCCTCGACGTTCCGAACCCTCCTCGCGCGTCCCTGCCGGCTGCCGTGCTCCACCGGATCCCGCTGCCTACGTGTCCCCCTAGGGCACTCCACGGCGCGCATGCGCAATCTCGCGATTATGACGTCATCCACCATGACGCCACAACGTCCGATTGGCGGAGCGCGTCGTCGTCGTCGTCGTCGTCGCGTCGTCGTAGCTGTTTTTTAGCGACGAGGATGTCACGGGACGGAGGGGAGGTAGCTTGGCAATGGCTCTCGTGTAAGCGAGAGCCAGGGGGGGGGGACAGGAGGTGTGAGCGCGAGAGGAAACGAGAGAATGAGAGAGAGGAGAGAGAGAGAGAGCTAGCAGACTGCATACGGGGATTGAACGGCGAGTCGAGAGGGGAAAAGGGGATCGCGCGAGCGAGCGACCGGAGCGACGCCGAACGGCCGATAACGTGGCTGAGCAAATGGCGAATGCGACGGCGGTGAAGGAGCGAGAAGAAAGTGGCCGATGGGTTCGAGAGAGACGGGGCTAAGGCTGACAATGAGAGGTGGAAACTCCGACGGAGTTACCCAGAGGGCCAGAGTTACCGCCGCATTCTCGAGCGTTCGTCTCTTCGTACGGCAGCCAGACGCCCCAGACGAGCGTCTCGTCCTCGTCGCGTCGAGAGATACGTGTTTAATTTCGCGCGTTTGTAAATTGTATCTCACGCGTCGCTCTTGCCAAGAAAGAGAGAATCGGAGAACGATTGTAATAATAAATCACGACGCGACAAAGGTTGCCGTGATCGCGTGTGCCTCGCGTTCGCTGGTTCGCGGTGCTTCGCCGCTACCTTTTCCGGTGCCGTGCGAGACAGTGTAAGATATATTAGAGCGTAGATTCGTCGTAACGCGGGTGTCTCGAAGTTCCTTCGAGGGCCGCGCGCGAGACGCGAGTTTTCTCCGGGGAGTGAAGTGACGCCGCGAATTCCCGCCATCGCCATCGTTGACGGCGCCATCGCGGAGCAGTTCTCCCCATCGCGGGCTTGGGTCGTTCGCTTCGCTCCGATCCGGTCCGGGCTATCCGTCGCGTAGGTGTAGCGGTGCGGGCGAGTCGGGCGTCGTCAGGCGTCGCTACGCGTTCGTCTTCTCGCGGCTCATGTGCTCGCGAGCCGCGCCAACGGAGACGACGGAGTGCACGCGAGACGGGAGGTGCAGGTTGACGTTATCGTCGTCTTTATCGTTATTTCGAGCACCGATTATTATTTCTCGGACGAGTAGTGCGTGCGGTCGGAATCTATTCTCCTTTCGCGGAGCGGAGTGACTCGAGAAGAGAGAGAGAGAGAGAGAGAGAGAGAGAGAGAGAGAGAGAGAGAGAGAGAGAGAAAGAGAGAGAGAGAGAGAGAGAGAGAGAGAGAGAGAGAGAGAGAGAGAGAGAGAAAGCGTCGTTTATTATGGGACAAGTCCCCTCGAGCGCAAGGACTTATTAACAAAGGAATAAAGAGAGAATTTGACCGTATTTCTCAAACAGTACATGAAATAAAGTGAAATAGAATAAAATAATGTGAAAAGTATACGATATTAAAACTGAATAAAGAAAATTAACGCGTGTATATGCATGAGAACGTATGCGTAACATATAAGAGTGCATGTGTGCGTGTGTGTGTGTGTGCTCACAGGCATATAACGGAGAGAAAGAGAGGTGATAGACAAAGCGGACGACTAAACGCGGGGATAACTCCGACAGCTCGCGATTAAAGATAAGAGCCCGGGAGATAATACGTGCGCGCGAGACAAACAGTGGATGTGAAGTGATAATTCACCGAGAGCGACACAGTGAACGATTAACATTAACCCCCCCCCCCTCCTCCCCCTCCAGGCAAACAGACCGCCATTATCATTACCAAAACAGCGGGAGATCCTCGGCGCCGACACTACGTTTCTCGCCGACAAGATGATGGGCAAACGGACGCAGTGTTATCTGTGCGACCTGCCCAGAATGCCTTGGGCGATGATAATGGACTTCTCAGAGCCGGTTTGTCGCGGCTGCGTCAATTACGAGGGCGCCGACCGCATCGACCTAGTCCTCGAGTCGGCCAAGCAGCTGAAAAAAGCGCACGGTTTTCAAGACGCCCGGCCGTCCGCCTCCAAGACGTATCGTACTGGTTCGGGACACACCGAGCACAACGGCGGTACCAATCTCGACGTCCTGCCGATTCAGAACACGCCACAGGGTAGTCATACGCGTCATCACAACATCGGCGGTTACTCGCAGTTACACCATCGTAACTCCATCACCGAGTTCACCTCGGGAACAGCGGCGGCGGCCGCTGCCGCCGCCAGGCAGCAGGTCGGTCGTCAACACGGTGACGAGAGCCACGAAATCGCCAACAGCATAAGGAACAATCCACCGCGCTTATCCAACGCCCATCTGGCCGCGGTGGCCGCGCATCAGATGACCCTGCACAATCGCGGCATTACCCAGCTCAAACGCGGCATCTCCGCGATCGACGAGGATGAACACGCTGAGAAACGACTGTCCCTGGAGGAGCAGCATCCAGTTAGACCACCGCTGACACGCGGGGACTCTCTACCGGCGGTCAGCTTGGCCGTCAGCTACGTGGACCGGAACAAAGAGAAGCATCCGGTGAGGGCGCCCAGCTTCGAGACGGCGACTACCTTCAAGGCCAACGGTGAGTTTCCCCTCCGTTTTTGGGTCGCGCCACAATCGATCGATGGAGTTGGTGACTAAGCATAAGTTCGTCCCGAATTTCGATTCCGATTGTAAGATTGTCAAGAATGATTGTCTTGGGGATCATTGTGTTTCCCGGATTTTTTCCCTTTTATTCCTATGTGGCTCACTGGGAACTTGGCGACTAACAAAACGAAGACATCGATTCTGCCGGATGCGGCGTCGAACGCGTCGCATTATCGCACGATGGTTTCATTTGTTTATGAACTCCTAATGATTGCGTTCGTCGTAAAGTCGTAATTTTGAAAGCTTCTCTACATGTAAAATATTCGCGGGATGTAAATATTACACAGCGAGATAAAGCAAGTAGGCTTTTGATACTAATTTATGCGAGCATTTACGAACGAACGATTTTTCTTTGATTACTTTCGCTTTCAAAAATGTATCTACCGAACAAACACGATTTGTTGAAGTCTTTACGAAAATTGGTTCGCGTGTTGCGATTAAATTCCATAGACACGATGTGTAATTCATTCATAACATGGATTTTTCATTCATAACATGGAATAATTACTAGCAATTAAGATCTTTAAAAAATAATGACAGTGTGATGAGTCTTTTCAAAGTCAACATTTTATAATGAATCCAGCATGATTAGTGGAGAACAGAAATATAAAAGACAGAAATATAAAACATGAGTTTCTGTCAAGTGTCCTATTATTAGTGATCGTAATTTCCCTAGAGATTGCATTGCTATCTTAACAAGAATTGTAGATATAAATCACGCTTTTCATTTTTCTTTAATTCTACATTATTCGCGTGAGATGTTTGACACTAACATTGTATCTCACGTTTCATTATTCTCTTTGATGATTAAATTTGCAACTAAATAAAAATTGATGACATTCTATATCCTTTGGATATAAAGATAAATTGACTTTTTTTTTAATTGTGAAACAATTTGCGCTAAATATGTATAATAATGTGAATAAATGGCATTTATACTTTTAGCGAATTTATAAAGTAGGAATATTTTGGATCGCGCGAGTAAATAATAATAAAGGGTTAATCAATCAACAAATAAAGAATCTCAGGTCTGACTTTTTATTTTCTTATAACTTATTAGGTTAGATAATCCAATGAGAATGTAAAAAATTAATTTTCCTAGGTATAGTTAATCAGTAAACTGATAATTTTGTGGCAAGTAACATAATAACTTCTAGAAATATCACTACAAAACCATCAATTTAGTGATTAATCTTAACTAGAAGAAAAACATAATTTTTATTTTATCATCAAGTTAAGTGATCGTAATTTAAATCTAAGCCACAAGTTATATAATGAAAAGCCTTTATTTTATTTATTATTTATTCCTATTTTATTATATTTTAATGTGTATGTATTTTTCAAAAAGAAAGGCGCGTATCAGTAAATTCAGTAAAATCAGTCGTTTTTCGCTTCCATATAAGAATAAATGCACAAATGTGAGACGAGAAGTGTCTCGGACATTCCGGCCTTACGTGGCGCGCGGTAGCTCGACATAATTTTTTTTTTTAGCGGGCGGTGTTCTGGCGTTTTTATCGGTGCCTACTATAAATAGTTGAAGAGGAGGGCTGTGCGCACAGCCATTCGTTTGTGGCCATCTGGTGCGAGGAGGCAATGCACGCACACGCGTGTACGTCGACGAGGACGACGGTATAGGGAGATTGCATTAAAAGGAAGCAACGTCCTCCGTCGCGTCCTCGCTTCGTCTCTCTCTATCTCTTTCTCCTTCCATTTTGTTCTCGCCACTGGCATCTCTCTCTTTTTCCATCTCTATCTAGTTCTCTGTCTTCGATCGGCGTCCGAACGCGTACAAAAGAGACGTACATCGAGCACGTGATGGGACGACCAAAAGATACACACATTCAGTTGCCATGTCGTGACGTGTTCAATCAGGTGACGTCACGCCGCCGTCGCCGTCTCGCCGCCGTATTTATACCCGATGAATGAGACCGTTGTGTGCCGGTCGCTCAATAACGAGCGAATCCCGCAAGCGAGCGCGAATTTTCGCGAAGCGAAACGTTACATTCGTCGGCGTCTCGCGTTACGTTACGTCGCGTCGCATCGCGTTGCGTTACATTACGTGTAACGCGGATAACGCGTCGCGCGTAAGATAAGGAGAGAGATAGATCACCGACGAAGCGGCGGATCCTCTCCTTCCTATCTCGTCACTTCGCGAAGCGATGATAACTCTTGGGACACACTCGCCATCGCGGAGCGACTTCGCGCTGCGTCCTTCTTTCTTACGTCACTGCGCGATATAGAATCGTTCGCGATTAGTCGCTTTAGTTTTGCCTTTTAATGAGTTGAGGAACTGACGCGACGTGGCGAACGTTGAACCAGCAGCGAGAGGTCGCAGCGAGGGTCACTCGCGTCTGCAAATGACTTCAACAATTATGATTCGGTTGGATACTTTCAGCGTTCTTTTATCCGTGTTTTACATGGACGATATAAAGACAGAATGATGATTATAAGCGTTTAAAGCGTGAAGGACCAAATGAATGTAACTTATATCGACTGCTTTTCTTTTAATGCCTTTATTCTATCAGTCTATGAATCTAAACGTATAACCAACCCGGTGGTGGTATTAATCCGGGAGTGGTCGCGCTATGATCATTTTACCGTATTCTTCTGTTTTCTATTTATATCTTTCAATTTATTGGCACTATTGTATTTTTACCTTTATGTAAATGTTTGTTAATGTTTTTCTTAGTATAGTACGTGAAAATAGATGACATAAACATGCTTATATCTACATAAAATTTGATATGTTTGTAACAGTTGGTCTAAAAGATTATAGCGCGCGCACTTTAACTATGTCAGTCTTTCTTTTCTTCTTTTATTGGCTCTCGCAGTCAGCCTGGTCGTGATCTAGCCGAAAATAAACTAGTTCGAAAATGCAGGTAAACCAGAAAAGGAAACAATCACAAAAAAGCTCGGCAGCTTGACAAAAATTAGAGCTTGACAAAAATTGATGCAACATCCATGTCAACGAAACACATTCGTTGCGGTACGCAATAGTACGTAAATTCATTTACGTTAGTGTAATTAGTGTTTGTAGTCTCATTTTTTTATTTATTAATTATTACTTATAGTAATTATAATCGTATATGTATTGTAGATACAACACATACATGTGCGAAAATATATTTCGGTCAAAATGACGTGCCTACTAACGTTAGTTTCGAGACGCGCCTATTCTCGGGTTAAAGCCGGTTCTACAATGTGCTTTTTCTTGTTTCTTGTTTTTTGCTATTTTTTACATTTTGTCTTTTTGCTTCTTATCCGATGTTTTTATTTTATATCGCCCGAGATAAAGATTAACGAACTTCGAAAGAAACAAGAAATACAAGAAATACAATTGTCGATAAAATAGTTGCAAAGGAGAAAAAAGCAAAAGATAAAAAAAAACAAGAAACAGGAAATAAACAGTACATTGTAGAATAGGTTTAAAGAATCTTACAATAGTTGCAAAGCTGCTTTTCCGATGTCTGATGAACAATAAACCTATTTTGACGCTGAAAATGAATATCGAGCGTCAGCAGAAAAGGCACCTTTTTACGTTTGGAGCAGTTAAACATTCTTTATGACGTTACCTCTACGTCACTCTGACGGTGTCGATTGATCTTTTTGTGGAGATTTCGTTCATATATTCTGAAAGTAGAGCGGAGTTTCCGTCTCGGAAACTTTTCAAAATCAAGACAGAAGAATTTCTACGATCGTGTGAGACTCGTACTTTGACACGCGATTGGTCTTGCGCGCGCATCTTTCGATCATACTCCGCTGCACATCCACGCGAGTACGTTCGCACCTTTCTCCTCTTTTTTTTCCCTTTCTGATGCAGAAAGCTCCCTCCCTCGAACTGTTCTTTTCTCGCGCGATGCGTCCTATTTTCCGTCTTCTCATTGTACGCCTCTCTTTTCCTCATTGGCTGAGTTTTTAAATAATTCGGTAAAATCGTTTTTTCTATCCATCTTTTTCTAAATTTAAAAAAAGATTTAGAAAAAAATGAGAATATACTGAGAAATGTTTCGTATAATACGTAACTTATAAAAACTTTCTTACTTTTTAATTATAAAATTTTGTTATTCTAACTAAATTTGATTAAAACAAAATTTTTTAATTGAAAATAAGAATGTTTTTATATGTAAATTAAAAAATTTGTTATTTTAACCAAAACTTGCAATACCCTTCATTAGTTAAATAAGTTAAAATTTAAGTAAAAATTTTGTTTTAATCAAAATTTTGTTAAAATAATAAAATTTTTTAATTAAATAGTAAGAAAATTTTACAACCGTCATATATACAAAACATTTTTCTTAGTGTAAATTGAACATTAAAGTTAACATTAGTAAAAACGAACATATATAACCTCAGGAAAAAATTAATACGACTAATAAAGGTACAAACAGAACGATATCAATCGTTAACATATAACACGCATATATTCATAATGATTATAAATATAATGCTATAATCTACAGATAAAATACAAGTAGAAATCCCAAAGTAAACAGAATCAACATTTTAAAATCCACTTTCAACCGCGTCACGAATATTCAAATATATATATCGATAATAATTCATAAGCGAGAAGAGATCCCGTAGCGCTTCTTTTTCCCCTCTCTCTCTCTCTTTCTCTCTCTCCGCCAGTGTTTTTGCAAATATGAAACGTCATCCTCCGTAAAGTGCTATTTTTAACGGCGGAGCTAAAATATGCGCAGAGCCTATGTATCAACACGCCTCTGTGTGTGTGTAAAGCGCCTCGGTATGTAATAACGTCGAATGCTTCTTTCTTGAAAGGGTTAAGAGGTCTGATGGCGAGAGACGAGAGAGAGAGGGGGGGGAGGGGGGGACAAGGAATGGCTCGACTCTGTGTAATACCACAAACGACTGAAGCGACCGACTTATTGGTTGCACGAGCGAGCGAGCGAGCGGGAAGAATGATCATTCGGTCAC